CAGATTAGATCTAATTCTATTTTTCCAGCGACAGATTAGGTTCTTCCTCTTCTTTTATGTCAAACTCATATTAATTAAAAATGTCGCTGACGCGTTCAAAAAAATCGTGTCGTCATCGACAAAGCGTTTAGATAATGAAGATAACATGGAAGCTGTAGCCCGTAGCTCGTCGTTTTCAATGTGTGCAGAGCTTTATGCGCCGCTAGCAGCCGGTCAGTTTGCGTTTGTACTTCATGCTGTAAGCATCAGATGCGTGAGCTGTTTTGCTGAGTACACACATACAGATACAAAAATATTGCGCCTGTGTTGGGAGCTCTGCCAACGCTGTGCACCACTGATCTATACATACAAGGTAGCTCATAGCACAGTAGAAATCGGTTGTATGCATTTATGAAGAATGCTTGCTATATGAGTGAATTAGTGTGAACAATTCATGCGTAGTCATGAATTTCCACAAATAAATTCAAATTCTACCGAATTGCAAGCTAACGTACGTTGTTGTTGTTTTAAGTACATTTCTTGATAAATTTGAAGTGGAATTTTCGTAATATTTTCAGTCTTGTACAAAAATTTTAGTGAACGGACGTGTTGTGCGATACTAATTTCAGCACTAACGAGCTTTTACAAGATAAGCATTTGCATATGTAAATGGTACTTTTTTGTATGTCCAAGTATATTAAAATGTATCAGAAAAGTAGCATTTACATATGGGGATACATATCTTGTAAGAATGCTTTAATACTGTTCCATTAATGCGTTTTTGTATGTTTGAAATATTAATACAGCCATATGCATACAGCACTACTACAAGTGTACGGTTAGAGTACATGTATACACAGCAACAAACTCATGCCACCAACACCGATGTCGTATGCATGAAATTTCTACTGAGATTGTAGAACGAATTTTTGTTATATATACATTGAGGGAAATAATGCATAGTAAAAATGAATACTTTAAGTTTGGGGCGCGCTTTCCACTTGCTCCACGGGCGCGGCTTCCGTACTGACGGAACGGAAAGCGCTTTTACTGGCACGGATGACTTGATGGTTTGCCTGTTGCGACCCAGATCGCTGGAAATCTTTGCCCTCTTCTGAGCGATGCTGTTGCGGACGGCTGGCACTAAACACAATGTTCGGACACAATAAACGCAGGGTTGGGCCTGATGTGACGTATGGAGGTGCAGCAGTAGGATTCGATCGCTACTGGTGGCTGTGTTGTGCC